GACGTCGACGACTCGGGTGTCCCTGAGGAGTCGGTTCAGGGGGAGTTTGAGTATGAGGGGCAGGATGCCGGCGCGGGTGGTGGGTCAAATGGTGGACGACGCAACGACGAGGAGACCGCGGGTGGACCTGAGGGGCACGATGTTGTCATGGGCGGCGGGTCCCGTAGTGGGGGCCGTGGCGACAGCGAGACCGCGGGTGATGAGGGACAGGGTGCCGCAGTGTGCGGCAGAGGAGAGGGTGGACACGGTGGAGATGGGGACACCGCGGGTGTCGGTGGAGACGATGGACCGGACGGCGACGATGACGACGACCACGTTCCGAGGACGATCCGTATAGGCTCGCCTTGGTGTTGAGGGATCCCACAGTGCCTCCGTTGCGCCTTGACGACACAACGCACACTTTCTTCGACGCCGACGCTTTGGCGCATGCGTTGACGGATGACCCTTTCGCACACGTGAGCCGCAAGAGCGGCAAGCAGCAGGCCCTTGGGAGGGTATATTCACCGCCGCCGTTCACATTGCAGAGCCCTCACTGGTCGGGTTCGTCGCTCAGCGGCGTTAGAGGGAGGGAGTCCGGTGCGGGTGAGGTGGGGTCTGGCAGACGCAGCGACGACGGCAGAGATAGTGCAGGATCGATGCCTCCACCGCCCGCACGGACTCCGGAGGCCAGGGTCGACACCGCGAACCGGACGGTGGCACCCGGAGTTGCGCACAGTGGCGGTTCCCCGCCGCTAGTCCGAGGAGGTGTGGGTGGCGGATGGTCAGCTGTTCGTCGGGTCGGGGACGGGTTGCGGGCGGATTACGACGCCGGGAGGGGCGTCTTCACGGGACGTACGCCTGTTCAGACGCAGGCTGCGGAGGGTGGGTCCGGACGTCCGAGCCTGCAGATGGCAGGCCGCATGCTTGGTTTGTCACGAGCGGAGACGAGGAGGACATTGGTCCTCGAGGCCGCAGGGACATCCACGGACAGGTTGCGGGGAGAGCAGTTCACATCGGGCGAGGAGGGGTTGTCGATGCGTCCCGGGACGAGACGACAGCATGGCCTCTCGGAGGTTGAGGCTTGACTCGCTGCAGGGGTCGCCGCTGGGCAGGCAGCATTGGACGCGATTCAGAGGGAGAGAGAGAGGGGGATTGCTGCACAGGCGGAGGAGGACGAGGACGTTGACACTGAGTCCGAGCCGATCGAGACTGCGGCACGCAGACACAGGGCACAGGTGGCCACGGCGGCCGCTGCGGCACATGCTGCATACGTCAGCGGGGCACGGGGCACAGGTGCCGGAAGGAGAGGAGGGCGCCGAGGAGGACAGCATGGCCGCACGTCCGGAAAGAGAGGAGGCCGCGCGCGCTCTGCTGGGAGATGACGACGTCCGTGGTGTTTTTTGCTACTCGGTTGTACAGTAGAGACGACGCCCGTCGACGGGTCCAATTTTTTTTTTCTACTCTATTGTGTAGCGAAGACGATGGGTCCAGTTTTTTTTTCCTACTCGGTTGTACATTAGAGTTTTCATTTTTTTTTTCCTACTCGATTTTCATTAGAGACGATGTGGACATTAGGGTTTTCATTTTTTTTTCCCCCTACTCGGTTGTACAGTAGAGACGACGCCCGTCGACGGGTCCAATTTTATTTGCTACTCTGTTGTGTAGCAGAGACAATGGGTCCAGTTTTTTTTTGCTACTCGGTTGCACAGTAGAGACTACGGGTCCAGTTTTTGGCTTCAGCCTTGTACATACGCATTTCCATTGAAATGCTTTGTCATATATTTGCTCTTGTTCTTGTTCCTCCGCCACCATTGGTCTTGAATCTGAGTCGCTGTTGTTTTGGTGATTGTTTTCTGCTCTGTTGTCATGATTGTTGCAAATTATGTGCTTCTCCGATGCCACGCACTATGGGGTGACGTGCTATTGAATGTGTTCTTACATAAATGATGTGCTAATGAATGTCCATCAGTCTCCTGAGTGAACACACACTATGACACACTTGCCTGTTATCATTGTTTGAAACTTGTGGTTCGCCGCACTGTGATTGATTTTCAATGTGTTTTGACATTGGTATGCCAAATAGGGTCTGACTTATGATTGCCAAATTTGCCATGAAAGTGTTGTTTTCAAATAAGCCACAAACTGCCATCGCCCTCATTAATGAAACCGACGCCTACCTTTCAGTGCGTGAGGCCCTGATCCGCCTGGGGTCTGCCATCTGCAGCCCCGTCTAGCTTCGACCCGGTCTGGCCGCACGGCCCGCCCCAACCAGGCCCTCATTCAACCCACGTTGGTCCGCCCCTGCAGGGATCAATTTTTTTTTATTTTTTTTTTCCCACTGTTCCAGACCCTCCTCCCTGCGACCCCGCATCGACGAACCTGCACATTGGGGCCGCTGGATTTTTCGCGGGCCACCCTTCCAGGGTCTTGTGCAGGACCCCCCCGTTTTTTTTTTTTTTTGACGCCCTGTCACTTTGACGGGGTGCCCCCCCACCCCCCCACCCCAAACCTGCCCCCAGCTTTGAAAACGGCCCACCAGATCGGCCGACACCGAGGCCGAAAAAACTCGGCCGGGCCGGCCGCGGCCGGGGGGGTCCCGGCCTAGGCCGCCGGCCGTGGCTGCGGCCAGCGTGCAACATAGTTTGGGATTGGTGCAGTGCTGCAACAAGATGATGGTGATGGCCTGCGTCCGCTCGAATATTACAGCAAACGCATGCCCAGCCACAAGGTAGCTACCTCCACATACATGCGTGAGCTCCACGCCTTCACGAGGCGCTCACACATTGGAAGCACTACCTCTTGGGTCGTCACTTCAAGGTCTACTCAGATCATCAGACCTTGCAGTGGATTAAGACACAAACTGATCTCTCCCCGACGCTGACCCGCTGGTTGCATGACATTGATGTGTACAATTTTGAAGTGAAACATAAGAAAGGCTGTTATAATCGTGTTGTCGATGCTTTGTTGCGTCACCCTGAGTTTTTGACTTGCCTTGTGAGTTTGTATGGCCTCCAAAGGAAACTGAAGGAGGACCTGGTCGAACACACTGCCAAGGATCCGGACCTTAGTCCCATCCTTGAGCAGCTCAAGGCTGACCCTAGCAGTCAGCCTGATTTTCATGAGTGCGACGGTCTTGTATTCCTCCGGTATGGGAAGTTTGATCGTTTGTGTGTACCCAACCATGCGCCCCTCCGGACTCAATTCTTGGATTTGGCACATGGTCGGAGTGGACATTTCGACTTTGAGAAGACTTATGGAAGTCTTCTGCAGCAGTTTGATTGGCCGGGAATGAAAGGATCTGCTAAGAAATTTATTGTTGAATGTCAAGTTTGTCAAAGGACCAAGGTTCATAGGCATAAGCCTTATGGCTTGTTCAAACCCCTCCCCATTCCTGATGGACCCGGTGAGTCGATTTCCATCGACTTCACGGACATGGGAAAGGTGAGTGAGGCAGCGAATTCACAAGTCATGGTCATCGTGGAGCGTTTTTCCAAATTTCTGAATTTGATTCCTTTCCCTCCCCATGCCCCAACTGAGCTTGTCATTGAAGAATTTCATCAGCAGTACATTCTGCAGTTTGGCCAACTGAAAACTATTGTGAGTGATCGAGACACCAGATTCATTAGTAAAGATTGGAAGGACTTCACTTCGCAGATCTACGACATTAAACTCAACAAGACTTCTGGTAGACACCCCGAAGCCAATGGATTGGCTGAGGAAATCAACCAGATTGTCATCCAACTACTGCGCACGTTAATTTTTCCAGATCAAAACACGTGGGACAAGGAGTTACACAAAGTGAAAGGGTTGTATAACAACTCCATTCACTCTGCAACTGGCGTAACACCGAATCAACTGCAATATGGTTGGCAGATGCGCAATCCTCTCTCCTATTTGTTCCCCGAACGGTCCCCTGGTCTGACGCCCGGCATGCCTGGCTACAATGCCAAGTACGCACGCCTGCTCAAAGCTGCTATCGCAGCAATGAACAAGCGTCAGCATGCCATGATCAAACATGCTAACAAGTCGCGCAAAGAAGCGAACTTCAAAGTGGGGGATTATGTCTGGGTCAAAATGTCTGAGTTTTCTGATGAAGAGGGCGTATCACGAAAGCTTCTTCCATTGTACTATGGCCCTTGGCAGGCTCTGAAGGTGATTGGGGATGAATTTGGTCCTTCGTATGTGATTGACGTGCCTCCTCATCTGCGCACATATCCGGTCTTTCATGCATCCAAACTGTTTCCACACATCGATGATGAAACTTTTCCCTTCCGAGATCCTATGATACCTCGTCCTATCAACGGCGGCCATGAGATAGACAGAATCGTTTCCCATCAAGGCAGAGGGAGGAACAGACAGTATAAGGTTCACTTGCTCTATCACCCGTTGAACGAGTTTTGCTGGATCGACCGGAAAGAGCTGCTAAAGAATGCTCCACGTGTTGTGAACGCTTATGAACGACAGATCGCTGATGGACAGATTGCTAAGTTTTCTGCAAAACTCACTCCCTATGGTCTTACTAAATCCCTCTTTTTGATCTACGCCTACGATGCATTTTGTGCCGACTCTGAATGAGTTACTCGCTCGAGGGGACCTCGCGCTTGAGAGGGGGGTAGTGTAATGACCCGCCAAAAACACAGACTGAGAACACTGCTGATTTCTGGGATTTGCCACTGGAATGAATGCCTTGCTGTGATTCCCGCATTCTGCTGCGGTTTCCAAGTCTGTGTGTGTGTGTGTGTGCCTGCTGGTTTGCATGCCTGTCTGAGTGCTTGTCGGTTGAGTGTGTGTGTGACCCGCAAGGGTACTTGTTGGTTGCAAGGCCCCGCAGGGCCGGTACTTACCTGTGGCCGTGACTGTGAGGGTTGCAGCGGGGGAAAACACTCGAGTAGCGGGGGTAGGCCCATGACACTTAGAGCAGAGGGGAAAAACACTCAAGTAGCAGGTAGGCCGGTACCACTGAAGTAGTGGTAGAAGTGTCGGGTACTGGAGGCCGAGCAGAAGAAGACAAAAAGTTGGCATTTTTAGAGGCCCAGTAGCGGTAGGCTAGAGGCAGGCCGGTACCAGTCCAAGAAGCCCGGGTCTAGGGCCTGTCCGGAGGTTAGCAGAGCCTGCAATGATGTTTCCCTCCGAAAGGGAGGAGGTACCGGTTGCTGGGAGGCCRCTCGGCCTAGGAAGTCACCGCCCAGGAGGCCAGTAGGCCGCTATATCTTTCGGAGGAGCAAGTAGCTCCTCCTCATTTGCGCCTCCTCATTTGCGGTATGCAAGGATTTGCGACATGCTGCTGGAGCACAGCGCTGGCTGATACAGCGCTGCTTGGAGGTGAAGGGCAGCTGGCGCTCAGCCTGGCTWTGGCRAGCAGCCCAGCTTGAGGAGGAGGAAGAAGGGGGCTAAGGAGGAGAGTGGCGAGGCACCTACCTGGCTATGGTGGACACCGTCTTCATCACCTTGTTGGACGCTGCATCCGGAAGGCCCCAGTTGGGGTAGTGCCGCACCAAGGAAGCTCGAGGCAGAGTCAGGCATGGTGGACCAGTCAGCAGCATTATAGCTGCTTTGGGTTGTCCTTTGGACAGGAGTGCAGCGCCATAGCTGCTTGGGGTTGTCCTTTGGACAGGGGGGCAGGGCCCTCAGTAGTCCACCATAGCCTTTGCATGAGAGAGGAGGCAGAAGGAGGGAAGCCATAGCTATGGTGGACTTGTTGTTGTTGTTGTTGAGTCAGCAGTAAGAGGGAACTTCGGATATTGATTCTGGTTCATCCGTTCATTGTTATTGTTATTATTGGGAGAAGAATAAGATTGGCGAAGTGAAGGAGGAGGAGGAAGGTGGAGAGAGAAGGGGGAATTGTCATTGGTCTTGCTGGTGCATATCTTCTTCTTCTTCTTCTTCTTCTTCTTCTTCTTCTTTCTCTCTCCTCTGGTCTCTTACTGTTTGCAAGTGCTTTCATTTCTTTCGCAATTGGGTGGCATTGTCTTTCATTGTGAATTTGCACTTGGAAATGACCAGGATCTTAACATTTATTTTTTTTCAAATATTTTGTTTAAATCGAATTTCGTTTTTCATTTAAAAAAAATCTTAAACGAAGTCCGATTCCGAAATAAAAACCATAGGATTGTAGGGTTTTCCAAGCCCTGCACCCCTATATTTTTTATTATTTTTTTAAACGTATTTTTAGGGGTAAAAAAATAAAATAAAAAAACAGGCCGCGGACTGGGCCTCATGGGCCGTGGCCGCGGCCGACTTTTTTGGCCGCAGCGGCCGAAATACCCGTGGCCTAGGCCGCGGGTGTCACATAGCTAATAATCTATTGGGCTGTTCCAGTCAACCAATGGTTAGGCAAAAGAAGGAAGCAAGAGGAGCATCATCAATTACTGGTGTGGTGCAAAATGTGCAGTGAGAACGTTGAAGAATCGCTGATACATTGCCTTATACACTGCCAATGTGCCCAAGATCTCTGGGATAGATCAAAATCCCTGTGGGTCAATCTAACGGATCATGCATACCCCTTGAATACAACTTATTTGCTGTCAGGAAGGATAGAGGAAGAAGACCTTGAAGAGGAAGAAATTATTCTAGCAGACCTTCTGAGGAGAGCGACCCTTTGGGTAATCTGGAAAACAAGGTGCAAGGGTACCTTGGCTGGCCAAAATACCAGCGTAGATGAGAAGTGGACTGAAACCAAAACCATAATTCAAACAGAGCCCAGTGGAATAGAGAACAAAAGCAACAGAAAATCTTGCAACCAGAAAAGAGAAATGAGCCAAAACTTCGAAAAAATCTGGCTCGGCAAGAATAGATTTGCGGAAATCGATAAGGGCATCATCCACTTCAGGAACTGGGACTTACCTGCTGAATAAATAGTCGGTGAATAAGAAGGTGTTGCTCTCACACAATGGAGGGACATTTCCAAACACAGTCGCAGCGCGCTAGAAAACTGCACGGAAACCAGAGTTCTGCAAGTAACCCCATGCTCACTCCTGAGCCAAGATACCCAACTCCCAGACCCTCTCCATCCAAATCACATCTTCTTTCCTTCCCCCGGTATATCTCCTCCAATTTCCCCACCTCGTCTAACAGGCCCGTCCAGCTTCAGATGGCAGTGGAAGGCGCGCACTCTGATTGGAAGAGGAAGAACCTGAACATCTGGAAGGCAAAAAAGTGAAAGGTAAGGCTGTGGTCCATCTGGAAGGAAAGGTGCTGCAAATCTTTTGAAGGCCGTGCACCCCCCAAGGGAGAAGGTACGAGAGGAGGCAAGATGAGTCAAGCAGAGACCCTTGGTGTATGGTACAAAACGAGAAAACCCATGCCTGATGATAAAGAACAGTAGAGGAGAATCAAAAGAAAATTCTTCACAGAATGGATGGTAGGAGGCAAGGTGGCAACGCTGACTGACTTCCACTTTCGATGGAAAGACCGGCTAAATTCTGATACGGGGTGGAAAAGACAAGTGCTCCAGGTACCATGAATAAGTCCCACTGCAGGCCATATGAGCTGACGGGCTAAGATGGTTGGAGTCTTCCATGCAAAATTTCAAAAGGAGGGTTTAGGGTTTAGAGTTTTGGGACCGCTTTGTAAACAGATTTAAGGAGAGACGAGACAGCTTTGAGGCATACGGACAGGTTTACAAGGAGGGGTTACAAGGGTCAGTTTGTGTAGCTGCTCAGCTCTTTCTAGTTTTTCACGATATATCTGGCAGGTTAGCTAACGGACCTGAGAGGAAAGAGAGGCAAATGGTTAACAGGTACCCTCACTTTTCACCCCTAGGGTAAACCTTCACCACCCTGAAAATTCAAAAGTGTAGTGGGGATCAT